CACAGTTCGTCACTATCATTGCCCCTCGAGCCAACAGAATAAAACCTATAACTCTGCAGCCAGCTGGACCAGCAGTTTAGCAAAAGAGAGAAATATCAATTAGACTTCCGAATTGATTACCAAAGCCACAGTGCAACCCCAACTAAAGTTAGAACCAGGGGATATTTGAGGTCAATCTCCAAGATAGTTGTTTTACATTGGTTTGGGTTCTTCGCAGCACCACATGTGTTATTGTCCATCAAGCACTGTTGACCAAGCTTCTGTTTGTAAAATTGTAAGTAAAAAAAATAGGATTTTGTCAACAAAGTAGCATGCATCTGCCCGCTAATTGAAACATAAATCTAAAGAAGAGGCTTCATACATTTAACATAGTGGGTTAGCTAACTATTGAGTGCATTCAGAAGAAGCGAGAACCTGTAGAACTCCTTTCATATGATCCGTTAAAATAATGACTCTAGTAATGAAGTATGCACCGCTCCCATTACGATTCAGTTTCTGTTGTTCAAACCCACCAAATACATCTAAATCGGATATATTTGGACCCATATATCACAACCACAAAAACTAAACCCCAACCTTCTCGGCGTTTCAGCTCTACAACTAACTACGACCTCCGCGATTGAAATACTTGCTTCATATCCATGTCATTCAGTACTAACAAACATACGACCGACGCAAAATAATCAAGGCAGGTTCGATACAGTATCCTGATCAGTATTGTATGGTTAATGATGTTCCCAAGTTCAGTAAGAACAACTAAAAAAATAAAGTAATGGTTATTCAACAACCACCTTTAGAGTTACGAAATCACAGAAGAAGTTAACTGAATTCGTAATCAAGTGCTATACTCATAGAGGAAAAGCATGACTGAAATTTGAAAGAAGAGAGACAGGAGAATACCATAGATATGTCAAAAGTCATTGGTTGGTGGATAGTAAATTGGACTTCCCGGCAAATGAGGGCTTGGATCAAAGGAGGGACTTTCCATCTGTCATAGTAGTTGCTGCTCCCGCTGTATTTCCTTTTAGGTTATAATAATTCCATTGTTCCTTGAAACAGAGAACAATCTGAGTTTCATAAGGCCATACAACAAAAGTACAAAACAAAAAAATTTAAATTGGCTAGTGATGTCTGAGGTAGACTATGGCTGCATTCTAAGTGGAACCACATTGTACAATGATCACAGCCATGGTTGGCAAGATTTGAGAAGGCAACGTCCACTCCACTGTTGTTTTAAATGGTACATAATACATGCATAATTGTTTGTCGGTAAACATTTGAGAATGTGTAAGTTGTAATCAAACACTAAATTTACATTAAAAAAAACCACCCACCGGGAAAGATTATTTAAGATATTAAAAGAAGATTAAGTTGAGCACCTAATATAAATCAGTGGCATTCAAATCAACTGTGTTTGAAAGCAACAGAGAGCACAATTACTTGGTGCTCATATTAAGCTGTCGTTGACCTGGTAGGAATATAGCTTGAGATAAAAACAACTCATTGATTAGAAGGGAAAATAACATCGTATTCTGTCAAATATCTAAGTATTGGTTTCTGAGGCATTCAACTAACTTCAATTAGAGTAAGAGTAGGGAGGAAATTGCATCTGAATCTGAATTCTAACAAACCAAATTTCAGAACTCATTCAGCTAACTTCATGGTAAATAGGAGCAGGAAACTAACATTTTTTTTTCTTAATTATAAAAGAAGGGGTAAAAAATAGAGGTAATAGCAAAAGATATTCAACCTAACCTCTCCCTTTCCAAAGTTTAATCTCATGCAGCAAGTACTTTATATGGTCCAAGAGCGTAGCTGGGCAAATCAAATGGAACTGTGTCAGGCAAAATAGCATGTTTCCTTCAAAAGATTAAATTTGAAAGCGTAAATAGCTAAGGCACTTCAACTGGAAAGCAATCGATTACCAAAATGGGATGCCGCTGAAATTCGCCAGTACGCAGAATGACAGTAGGAAACGGCAAAACTCTGAAGTAGCCTAGTTTTGTAACTGGACCAGAACATAAGAAACCTGAAAAGTAAGAGTAGAACTATATAAAATCACAAAATTAGTTTGACCCATCATCCCCATAGCTAATGCAGTAAGCATACTTCTGAAATATATCTTTTCACAAACGCTGCTCTGGGATGGCAGTGAATCTTTCCATTGCATGTGCATTGGTTAAGGGAGTTCAACGGCATCAATTACTGAATCTATAACAGATGATAGCGAGAAGTTACCTGAAACCGAAAGTAACACCACATAGCCACCACGTAAGGAAAACTCCAATGTACTGGCCCCAGTTCTCATAATCTTCGAATTCAGGGCAGCACAATTTCGTATAAGAAACCAGCAACCAGTCTCGAATGGAAGGAAATCAACCCTTTTCGTCCAAGACATAAGCAAGTTCCTTAACATTGCATATCCACAACCTGCCATACAAACGATTTATGTTCCTGAGATACCACAACACCCACCAACCAATTCCATATCATTAGAAAAGATGGAAACAATGAAACAAAGAAGACCTAAGTCTTACCTTGCTTGCATATATGAACAGGGAAGATGTGCTTATTCAATGGGGCAAATCCAATTCAACAGCAAACAACTCCTTATTTGCGTTCCTCCTAACCCATCCCATATCACATGCCTGGACGGAAACAAACACCAGAGTAAAAAGATAAATTATCTAACCGAACAACAAAAAAAAAGGGCCAAACTCAGCAGAAAAAGTTAAATGACATAAACAGAAATGAAACCAGATAGATAGCTCTAGAGATAATAAAAAAAACATGGGAAGCTGCAGTTGGCACTAACCAATGGGCAATGTTACGGGTTTTTTGAGCACTGTGATGCAACGTCCATCTTTGCATATCGAAGGAGCCTGTACAGAAAGGGGCAGGATGGCCGGGAGTCGGATGGAATCCAGACTTACTTAACCCAGATTGATTTGTTCCTGATCATACAAACCCTAGCCAGAGAAACCCAAAAAGGCGTGACTAAACTCCAATGGGAATAGAGAGAAGAAAATAATTCCACAAAAACAACTTACCGCCTTGGTCGCGGTTGACAGCAGTCCCACCGCCGGCGGCATGACATGTTCCTTCTGGCATGAGTGTAGACGAATCACTTCCTTCTTCCTGATCAAAAACCCAGGAACAAAAGATGACAAGAAGTAAGAATTAAAACCAAACAAAAAATCCAAGAATGACAATATGCAAAAAAAAAAAATGATTGTCACTCGTTGCTGGGACCATCACCGACGTCCATTGCCAACCTTCATCGTCGTTCACGCCTTCCCTTCTCTTCATCGATCCAAAAGGACGTTCTAACCAAGTAAGAGAACAAAGAAAAACAGAAAAAATAAACGAACAGATTCGGAGAAATAAGATCGGCGGCGTTAAGAACACTAAAAAATAAGAAAACTCACGATCTAGCCAACCAGGCGTCGAATGACTCTCCTTCATTGGCAAGTTTGCCGCTTCATGGGCGATTTCGGAGATTTGAGATCGCAGAGCGCGAAAGAGACGACGTCGGAGAGAAGAGAGAAGGAAGAGCACAAGTGAGGTGGGGTGGGGTGGGGGTTCCTTCTTCTCCTGGTTCTTCTGCTTCCTGCGTCTTCTTCTTCTTCATATTCTTCCTTTTTTTTTTCGTTCTTGTACAGAGAGAGGGAGAAAGAAACAAGTGGGTTGTTGGTGTACAGAGAGAGGGAGAAAGAAACAAGTGGGTTGTTGGTTTCTGTAGAAGGAAGAGAAAGAGAGAAGAAAAGTTGTGTGGCTGGGAAGAGAGATGGGAGGGAAAAGCAAAAAAAATATCTGTAAAATTTCCAAACAAGTTCCCAAAGTTTCTTTCAATTTCGAAATAGGCACTTGTGTGATGTGACTCTACCAAACAGTAACATGTAGTTTGTTCTTTTAAAGAGATCCACACCCGACCCAACAAAAGCGGGTAAAATTCGTTCCCGACCCAAAATTCGGCAACACCGAGACCGGGTCGAATTCGATTGAATATAGCTTTTAACAAAAGCGACACACAACTCAATTCGTTACTTACAAAAGTTGGTAAAATCTGTTGCCGGAAAAAAAGTCGGCAGCACCGAAACCGGATCGAATTAGATTGAGTACACCCGACTCAGCAAAAGCGGGTAAAATTCGTTCCCAAAAAAAATCTGGCAACATCGGGACTGGGTCGAATCAGGTTGAATATAGTTTTTAACAAAAGCGACAGACAACCCAATTCGTCATTTACAAAAGTTGGTAAAATATGTTGCCGACAATAAATTCGGCAACACCGAAACCGGATCGAATTAAATTGAGTACACATGAATTTAGGTACATAAAAAGAAATCATTAAACATAAGATTAATGAAAGAGAGAGAGAGGGAGGGATGAAGATTGATGGAGGGGGGAGGAGTTACGGGAGTGGTGAAAATGAATGGATGGGAATAAGTGCAGGAGAGAGGAAAGGAATAAAGAAATAAAACATAATTGCATTTTTAGTCCTCAGTAAAGTCTTGGTTAATGGTTAATTACAAAAGAGAGCCACCTATGCATGTCAGAACTCAGAAGAAGGGCCAATCAGAAAGGAGAACAAGAGGCAAAAAAGCAAACCAAGTCACAGTGTTTGGATGTGACTCTACCAAACAGTAAACTTGTAACTTGTTCTTTTAAAGAGATAACTAGCATTACGCCCCCATTAGTATAGCTCCCACCATCATTAGACTTCCCAGTCTTCTTTCCCTTAAAGAGTACAAAATGAAGAACCAAAAGACTATCTCAGGGCACATTTTCTTGCAAAATGCTCTTCAAGGCAGTCATATTTCATATTTGCGAACCAATCTTTATCTTCCCATCCATAATTACTAAGGCAAATTGGTGTCGTATTTTATCAAGTGTTGTATATTCAACATTGGCATTAGTGGTCTTATTGTATACTGACTATTGTTGGCTAAATTTATTCTCTTCGTTAACTGATTTTCTCGCCAAATATTCTTCTTGTAGCGTCATACCGTAGAAGACCATTCATGGTACAAATATCATATCGGCAGCCTATATAATATGTTGTTGGAATCAGAGGAGCTGCAGTCTGATGGATGTGGTAGTAGTCTTCAGTGTCCACAAGTGTTGGACATTCAGGACAGCCAAGGCTTGCAGGTAGAAATGGAGCTGGTGAGGTTTGTGTTAGCCAACGCCACACATCTTGGCTGAGTCAACATCAGACCTTGGCGTAAATTGGACACTTCAGTTGTTGTGATGTTGTCAAATACCTGACGGAGGTGAATGGATATAAAGCGTGCGTCGAAAGCAGCAAAGGTTATATACGCTTGGGTACTGCATGATGTGAAGATGTTTAGCTTTCCTTCTTCTCGACACTCCAAGGGTGTTGTTACTCAGCTTTTGAAGCAAAAGAGGTTTATGGAAGTTTCTGGGCAGGCCTTACTCTGTGCATGTTAGTATTTGCGCAGCTTTGTGTAGATACGACCCCGGCTGGTGCAGTGGGATACCCTTCTCTGTGACGGGCAGATACCCACAGTACTGCTGAATGGAGGTTTGTTACCCGACGAGGAGACACGTGGAGCCGTTGTATGGGAGGGTTCGTGTATTCTCAGACGTTAGATGACAGTAGTCACAAAGGTATTTCAGTATTGATGGGATTCTATCTATTCCTTTTTATTTCATTCTTTTCCGGGTCTTTTTGCCCTCTTTACATTCTCAGAAAAGCGGCGTGTCTTATGGAAACATCTTTGATTCTCTGCCCTTGAGGGTTTAGCGTATAAAAAGGAAGCAACATTGAGTTTTTAGGGTTCTTACATCGTGGCTCCATTCTCTCTGTTTCTTCTCCTTCAAGCGAGAAGCTGCGTGTTATGAAGCTGAGCTGAGAATCCATCTCTTGAATTGGTTGCAGGTAGTGTAAAGCTACGATTATGGAGCTGGGCGAGTCGACTCCTGATAGGATTAGCAACGTTCCATCCAATGCGATAGAGCAAATTCTGACGCTGTTGCCCATAAAAGATGCAGCGAGAACCAGCATCTTGTCAAGAAACTGGAGGCATCATTGGAGAAGTATTCCTCAACTTGTGTTCGACGGTAGTTTTGCTCCACACCCCAATACTGGACCATATTTGCCAGATGAGAAAAAGGTACTGGTGGACATTTACGAAGCTCTGCTGGTTCATGATGGCCGAGTAACCAAGTTTGAGCTCTCAATTCCTGGATTCAGCGAAGACTGTCAACAGATTTATAAGTTGATTCCTCACCTTGCAAGCAAAGGTGTCCAGGAACTTGCTCTTCGGTTTTCCGTGGGCCAGATCAAGCTGCCTTCCTCCCTGTTTACCGCATGTCACCTGACTGTTTTGAAACTGCAGCATTGTAGTGTTGGCGCACCATCTTGTTTTGTGGGATTTCGTAAGCTGGTCATTCTTGAGCTTAAACATGTTATCATGCCTGAAGATTTCCTTCAGAATTTACTGCCGGTGTGCCCCCTGCTTGAAGAGTTGCGGTTTTTTAACTCTAGCAGGCAAAAATATGTTCTTAACGCACCATCTCTAAAAGTGTTTATATTTCACCCGCATGTTTCGGGCTCGGAGTTTATGCTCCAGCATGCGCCAGTGCTTTCAGTGCTATCACTTCCAAATGGTTTGAGGTTTAAAGATTGGTTTGCAGAGTTTGCTTCTCTCCCTGCGCTCAGGAAGCTGACATTTGGAATTAGTTCGCTGAAAGTAAGTTGATCAATTTGTGTCTATATTTGTTCATCATGAATGTGGTTACCGCTTCCAAGGAAGCACCTGGTTTCTGTACTGATTCGTTGCCTCTATTTGTTTGCTTTCTGCAGTTCTCTGATGTGGGTAATGCAGCCTACAAGCTAACTACAACCGTCTACCAATTAAACGTCGTTGAAATAACTCGCCTTCTTCTGGATAACTTGCCACAAGCACGGCTTCTTATTTGGCTGATCATGAGTTCCCCCAGCTTGCAAAAGCTCACCGTTCGGGTTGGTTTTTACACTTCTTTTGTAGGCTATATATGTGGGTACATTTGTTAATAACTCTTTCAGCCTTTGACTTGTTTTTTTTATTTTTTTGACAAAACTTCCTTTTAGTTGGGTACTAGTATTGCCCAGCCGTCTTCAGAAGTTATCAATAGCCTACAGGAGTTGTTGGAAGCAGAGGACCGACCTGGAGTTTGTTGCCTTCAACATCTTGAAGAGTTGCACATTCAGGGTGGCCAAGGAACACGAGTCGAGCTGGACCTGGTGAGGTTTGTTATGGCCACTGCCCCACAACTTCGTGTGATCTCGATTAAGTGTGCAGTTAACCTGTCGGTTGACAAGATTCTAAAATTCTCGAGTGAGTTGTTATCGTATAAGCGTATCTCCAAAGACGCAGTGGTCAAATATGTCTACGAAAGATGATGTTGAGTTGAGATACTTCATAGGTTTTACATCTCTTGCCCTTTGGGTCGTTGTCCACCTACTTTCATGGTGCTTGATTCTTTTGTTCTCGTTTCTTCTTTTCGCTGATTAACGCGAGGGTGTTTGATCCTAGTTGGATTAAGAAGTTTTGAAGGGTTGTCGAACAGTCCAATTTGAAAAGTTTCAGTAATATTTTCTTTTAGGGAACATGAGTTATGTAAATCTAGGTTGATTTATTCAGCGCATTGAGGTGAACAATATTGTAAAATTTGAGTGGCTGTTTACTCTATTATTATTAGGGTCAAATTAAGTATGTACTTGCAACTTGCAAGTGGATTGGGTATTTGGTGGGTGATTAAGGTCCGGTGGGTTGATCGTTCTACATGATGCAATTCTAAAGTGTCATTGATATGGTAAGGGTTGCAATTGCAACTTTAAAGTGTAATTGATGTGTGATGTCATTATAGCTTATACGTGAGTAAATTTGCTCATTATGCAATTTTTATTGCAATTCAAATAGCCTTTGGTGGGCCCTTTTATATTCATTAGTTTATATATTTTAAGGGTTTAAAATTATAGAGATGGTGTATAGATGATTTAGTTATATTACATTAATTTTTTGGTCCCATCAATTAAAATTGCAATAAAATTTCATTGATGTAAATTAAGATGAAATTGTGAGATGTTTTTTTAAAAAGTTGTAAACGTGGAAGTAGGGACGGCTTATAAAATTGCAAATAAATGTCATTGTTTGAAATGCTTTGATCCTATAAAGGAACAAATCTGGTTGATACCAATTTGGAGAAAGTTCAATGGAGATAAATAACTAGAGAGGGAATTTGGTTTGTATGGCAATCCCTTTCTGGATATGAATATGTATGGAGAAGACAACTATTTGGTACTTTTGTTTATTTTTCTTGTATCTTTTACACTATATTTGGAGAGATGTTGGTTAAGGAGGAAAGTGCGGTAATGTTAGAGGTGTAAATGGTAGGCGCGTAAGTGGAGGGAAAAATTGTATTTAAAATAAAAAAGTAGGTTCAAATAAGATGAAAAGTAAGTAAATTATATTATTTTTCAAATTTATAGAAGGTTATCACAAAATAATAACATAAAAATTTATATAAAAATTTAAATGATTATAAATACAAGTTAGTAAAAGTAATTATTAAGACATTAATCTTTAAATAGTAATTAATTAACATAATAATATAATTTTAGATTGAAAAATCATTCTTAAATTACTCTCAAAATTTCCAAAATCCAAAAAGATGCCCTCTTTTAAAAATAGTCATAATGTCATCTAATAAAACTTGTATTACTTGACACAATGTCTATATCTTTATAAATCTACATGATACATATTGATGTTATAATTAAATTAACATTCACACAACTTATCATGCCAAAGCTATGTGATCCACGCGTACTCATACCAAATCACGTTGAAATTGTGTGATTCACACAAACTCGTACTCATTCATGCTAAAATTATTAGATTCATGCATACTCATACCCATTCGCACCAAAACTATGTTGTTCACGCTACAACTTATGTTAGGAAATATTTTGATAATATATGTTGAAAGGTGAAAAATCAATCTAATTGCTCAAGATCTCTAAAATTCAAAAAGGGTGCCATCTTTTATAAAATTTCATATAATAAAATTTGTAGTGCTTGACACGACGTATATATCTTTCTCTACACTTGAGCTCGGATTCTTTGACAAAAATACTTAAAAACCTGAAATCACACCTAAATACAACCAAAATATAAAAGGAAGCAGTTTGTGGCCAAATCAAGAGTTAATGGCGTTTTGTATGAGTGCTCTAATCCATAAGAAATATCCAAGAAATGAGGGCTAGATATCAGTATTTTAGTTGTTATCATCCTCCGAAGTCCTAACCTATTAGAATAGGGATCCTTTTATATTTTATTAAATAATCAAATTAGATTAAAATGTTACACCAATGAAGTGAATTGTATGATCCGACTGCGGTCTTACCAGTTTATACCAATTTTAACAAAATATGTGGGTAGTGGAAAACATTAATTTTAAATAGAATATGCACATATAATCTATCTTCATATTTAATAAAATAAGTTTAGGATATTCTGACCACTCTTTTTTTAATCTTTTTCCAACTCAACATTCTCGGAATTAATAGTGTTTTCTTTTAAGTGCCAATAGTCAATCATCCTCATCATACTGACCGATTTCACCTATCTTGACCGACTTTGCTAACCGAGGGTATTCCAGCCGGTTTTATCCCCGATATCAATCACAACCTTTGAACCAGCCAACATGAAACTGGTTTGACAACTTTCATCATTTACTTTAAAAGGATTTTCTAACAAAAGTTGTAGTGCTTGAAAAATTATGCAAAATGATTTTTTTTCCTTCAGACGAATAATCGAGCACAAAATTATGTCCATATAAACTTTCGAAGTATATTAGGGGAAATTTGTGTGGCCTCCAACAGTTTTTTGGCAAGATCACTTGGTCTAAAGCGATTTTGCAAAATCATTTTCCACAACAATAATTTTGGTAGATAATAAAGACTCTAGCGATCTTGTTACAACTTACAAAGATTGCTGGAGTCTGGAGATCCCTACGGTTTTGTCCGATCTAAGTATTTTGAAAAAACAATAGTAGTGTGCCATTAAAATTTGCTTATGTAAATTAGATAGTTTAAGAAAAAAATCATACCAAGCAAGAAGAGTTAAAGGATTTATTTTCTTAATCTAAAAGGAAAAAATAAATAGAATAAAAGTTAGTAGGATCTCCGTCTCATCTAGTTTGTTAGAATTCCCAGTTTCCCACCCAATTTATCATATACCCATATTCTCAATTCTCAACTCTTTCCTCTCTCATAATGAAATAATATTTTCTCATTACATGTTCATGTCTCTCCTCTACGGACAAGGAAACTTTTCCTATCCTATAAAAAGAAAGCAACTTGGGGTATGTTTTTAGGGTTCTTTTCTTTTCTTTGTGAAGCTGCGCAGAGAATCGATCTCTTTGAATTCGACGCACACATAGTCTAAAGCCAACGACAATGGAGCTGCGCGGACCGGCTTCTGACAGAATTAGCGACGTTCCGACCAATTTGATAACAGAGCACATTCTGACGCTGTTGCCCCTAAAAGACGCAGGGAGAACCAGCATCCTGTCTAAAAACTGGAGGCAACACTGGAAAAGCATTCCTCAACTCGTCTTCGATCGCAATTTCGCTCCAGTACTCCCCAATACGACACCGAATGATACCAAACTAACATCGAACATTCACGAAGCCCTGCTGCTTCACGACGGTCCAGTAACCAAGTTTGAGCTCTCATCAATTCCTCCTGGAGTGGGAGAAGGCCTTTTACATAGGTTGATTCCTCACTTTGCAAGCAAAGGTGTCCAGGAACTTGCTCTTCGGTTTCTGTCACGACCTTACTCTCGATCGTGCGGCCCTAGCTCTCAAATCCGTTAGAGCGCTAGGCAGCCTTTCTCTCAACTCACTTGAAAGCAAAGAACAAGAACAAGACAGAGGAAGTGGGAGAACTCTCTAGTGTGTATTACTCTCAAAAATGATGGAATGAGTTACAAGTGAGGGAGATGGCTCCTTATATAGGCCTCTCCTCATACAAGGCATCAATGCCCCTCATAATGTCCCTCTACTACATCAATACACCCATTAAGTCCCCCCATTATGCACTCTATAAATACTACCATAATGTAGCTAATAAGTGCACCATTAAGCTCTCTATTAAGGTGGAGAATCCTAGGAGCATCTCTATGCTACTAGTCTTCCATGCATGACACATGTGCAGCCTTGTTGTCACCTTGTTGGCGCCATGTCATCGGCCACATGTGACATCCTCCCCCACCTATGCTCGCGACGCCCTCGTCGCGTCCTCTTGATGGAATGCCTCGATCAAGTCCTTGTTCTTCCAAAGCGTAAGCTCTTTCTCCCAAGTTGCTTCACTTTCCGGAAGGTTGCGCCACCTGACCAAGTACTCCACAAAGCTTGGATGTACGCCACGACGAGGAATGACACGACGCGCCATGACTTCTTCAACTTCATGGTCGTGTGTCTTAGTGATGAGTGTTGGAGCGCGTTGCGACTCTCTTCGCTGCTCATCATCCTTGTCTTCGTGGAAAGGCTTGAGTTGGCTCACATGAAAGACCGGATGGATCTCCAAGTGCGTCGGCAACTCAACCTTGTATGCCACCGCGCCAATCCTCTTCACGATGGGGAATGGCCCTTCATAGCGGCGAAGCAGTCCCTTGTGCACGTTCTTGAGATGCTTGAAGCGATGAGGGTAGAACTTGATCATCACCATGTCTCCCTCTTCGAATTCTAAGTGCCGCCTCTTCTTGTCCGCCCATTTCTTCATCTTCTTACTAGCGCGGGCTAAGTAAGACTTGGCCATCTCCATCTTCTCGTGCCAGCCTTTAGCGAACTTGTAGGCTGCCGGACTGTTGCCTCTATACCCCGTTGCCACCGTCGTAGGTGTCAAAGGTTGCTGCCCCGTCGCCAACTCAAATGGACTCGTGTTGGTCGACTCGCTGCGGTGCAAGTTGTAGGAGAATTGTGCCGTATCCATCAACTTCACCCAGTCTCGTTGGTTTGCACTCACGTAGTGTCGCAAGTACACTTCCAACAAGGCATTCACCCGCTCCGTCTGTCCGTCGCTTTGAGGATGAAACGCCGTCGAGAAGTTCAAGTCTGAGCCCATGATCTTGAACAACTCTCGCCAAAATCTGCCCGTGAAGCGCCCATCTCTGTCGCTCACGATGTTGCTAGGAACGCCCCAATACTTGACCACGTTCTTGAAGAATAGTCGCGCCGCATCCTCTGCCGTCATGTCTTTTGGGCCGGGAACGAACACTCCATACTTCGAGAATCTGTCCACCACAACCATGATGCAACCGCACCCATCGACTTTGGGAAGTCCGATGATGAAGTCCATGCTTACACTCTCCCATGGTCGTTGAGGTGTGGGCAAGGGCTCTAGCAAGCCTGCCGGGCTTCTCTGCTCCATCTTGTCTTGTTGGCACACAAGACAAGTCTTCACATACATCTCCACGTCGTCTCTCATACGCGGCCAGAAGTATGCTTCTTCGATGAGCGCTTGCGTTCTCTCGATGCCGGGATGGCCCGCCCACTTGGAATCATGGCACTCCTTCATGATCTCCTTCCTCAAGTTGGCCCACCTTGGCACGAACACTCGCTCTCCCTTGGTCATGATGAGCCCATCCTTCATCCAAAACCGTCGAGTCTTGCCTTGCTCGATGTACTCCGCTACGGTTTTGGCGAAGGGGTCATGGCCAAGGCCTTCAACGATCCGCTCCTTCAAAGGAAACATAGGCTGGCTGATGCTTGCGGCTACACTCTTGCGGCTAAGAGCATCGGCAACGGAATTCGCCTTGCCTGGATTGTACTCCATGACGAAGTCGAACTCGGCCAAAAAGTCTTGCCACCTCGCTTGCTTGGGGGTGAGCTTCTTCTGCGTAAGAAAGTAGCTCGTTGCCACGTTGTCCGTCTTCACTACGAACTTTGACCCCAACAAGTAGTGCCTCCATGTGCGCAAGCAATGCACCACGGCCGTCATCTCCTTCTCTTGAACGGTGTATCGCCTCTCCGTCTCGCTAAGCTTCCGACTCTCGAAGGCAATGGGATGCCCATCTTGCATCAACACTCCTCCTATTGCGAAGTCGGACGCATCGGTCTGCACTTCGTAGGCCAACGTTGGGTTGGGGAGCACGAGCACGGGCTCCTTTACCACTGCTTGCTTCAAGGCCTCGAATGCTTCTTGGCACCTTTCCGACCAATCCCACGCCTTGTTCTTCTTCAAGAGATCCGTCAAGGGTGCTGCAATGTTGGAGTAGCCCTTGATAAACCTCCGATAGTAGTTGGCAAGGCCGAGGAATGACCGCAACTCTGGCACCTTCGTCGGCGGCTCCCATTCTTGGATTGCCTGCACCTTCGCTCCATCCATCTTCAACTTGCCTCCACCAATGATGTGCCCCAAGAATGGAACCTCCGTGGCGGCAAATGTGCACTTCTCCCTCTTGACGTACAACTCGTTGTCGCGAAGGACTTGGAAGACTTGGCGTAGGTGCTCGGCATGCTCGTCGAGTGTTTTGCTATACACGACGATGTCATCCAAGTAGACCACGACAAACCGGTCCAAGAATGGCTCGAACACTTGATTCATCAAAGTGCAAAACGTGGCTGGTGCGTTGGTGAGACCGAATGACATCACAAGAAACTCGTAAGAGCCATACCTCGTCACACAAGCTGTCTTTGGCTCGTCGCCCTCTGCTATCCGCACTTGATAGTAGCCCGAGCGAAGATCTAGCTTGGTGAACCACATAGCATCTCCAAGCTGGTCGAACAGATCGCCAATGTTGGGAATCGGCCACTTGTTCTTCACCGTCAACTTGTTGATGGCTCGATAGTCGATGCACATGCGCAACGACCCTTCCTTCTTCTTTTGGAACAGCACCGGTGCTCCAAAAGGTGACTTCGATGGCCGCATGTAGCCTGCGTCCACCAAGTCCTTGAGCTGCCTCCGCAACTCCTCTAACTCTGGTGGCGACATGCGGTATGGTGCTCGCGAAGGGGGCTTCGCTCCTGGCTCCAACTCGATCTTGTGGTCCACCTCTCTTCTTGGTGGCAGCTTCTTGGGCAACTCCGATGGCATCACGTCGTCGAACTCTTCGAGGACGCCTTCGATGATGGGAGTTGTGATTCCCGCTGAGCCTCCTTCTTCCTCCATTTTCAAGGACACAAGAAAGGTTGGTTCATTCTTCTTGAACCCCTTCAATACCTGCATGGCCGATAGAGCACTATGGGGGCCATCTTCTCTCAAGAGATGGATCGTGTGAAACTCCCCCTCCTTCTCCAAGCACATCGTGTTGGAGTTGGGCTTCAAGAGCACTCCCTCCTTGTCGAGGAAGTTGATGCCGAGGATGACTGGGTGATCATCCATGGTGACGACGGAAAAGTCGATGAGGCCTTCCCACTCACCAAGCCTCACTGGCACGTTGTGAGCAACTCCATGGATGGGGATGGACTCCGAGTTGATCGTCTTGAGCCTCCCTTTCCCCTTCTCGTAAGCAATACCCAGCCGGTTTGCCTCCTCGATGCGAAGGAAGTTGTCCGTGGCACCGGTATCCACCAAGGCTTTTGACTCGCCTTGCATGAATTGCGCCAGAACATAGCACCTCCCACGCTTGCTCTCCTTGACGTCGGTCTTTGCCGCGCCAAGCTTGCGGATTGAGCCAATCTTGGCCTCCGCCGCCTTGGGCTCCTCTTCTTGAGCTTCCATGGCCGCCAATCTCGCCTTCCTTGGACAATCCCGCACTCGATGTGGTCCGTCGCAAAGGAAGCAAGACATGGGTTTTGGCTCGTACTTAACCCCTTTGCTCGAACCACCTTGTTGTTGAGCGCGAGTGCCCTCCTTGAAAGGCTTCTGCTGTTCTCCACCCTTGTTGGGCTTCGAACTCTTCTCTTTGCCGCTGCTCTCTTGCCTTTTGTACTCGACAAAAGACTCCGCCGTGGCCATGGTAGTTGCAAGGTCTTGCACTCCTCGACGTTGCATCTCCATCTTGGCCCATGGTTGCAGCCCATCAAGAAAGCCGTGCATGGCCTCCTTGTCCGTGATGTCCGGGATCTCTAGAAGCAGCTCCGAGAATTCTTTCACGTATTCTCGAACTCCACCCCTCTGGGTGAGTCTTCTCAACTTCGAACGGGCTTCAAACTCCACGTTCTCCGGGTAGAACTGCCTCTTGATTTCTCTCTTGAAATCTTCCCACGTTACCATCACACAAGTACCTCTTTCGACGTCCGCTTCACGTCGCCTCCACCACACCATTGCAACATCGACCAAGTATAGTGGAGCGGTACGAAGTTTTACCTCATCCTCTTGGATGCCGGATGCCTTGAAGTATTGCTCAAGACTCCAAAGGAAGTTCTCTAACTCCCTCGCGTTCCTTGAACCTCCGAAGTTCTTCGGTCTTGGAACATCAGCACGTGGGACGGATTGCACCGGGGCTGGTCCGTTAGCCATGGCTCTCTTCACGAGAGTGACCTCACTCTTGAGGTCTGCAATCTCCTCCTTCACGCCGACCAGCTCAGCCTGGACTTGCTCTTTCACAACTTCAAGGGCGTTGTTCATGGAGGCGGTGATGGTGTTGTTGATGAGGGCCACAAGCTCTTCCCGCATCCCATCGTGGTTGATCTCCAAGCTTGTCAACCGACCCGCCATTCCTTGAACATCGCCTTGGACTTGGGCGAAGTTACCTCCCAAATCCTCGATGGCGGTGATGTCTTCCGCCAACTTCACTTCCACTCGAGAGACTCGCCTCTCCAGTGCCGCCATAGGATCACGAGTGCTTGACTTGTCACCCTTTGGCTTGGGATGCTTGGTTTGATCCCTTCCGCGCCTCTCTTGCTCGGCGGTAACGCCGCTGTCTGATCCC